TTCCAGGATTTGATTACGAAATCACACAGTTCATAAAGTGAAACCGCCCGGTATAACAGCAATATTAATATTGCTCTGTGCTAGACAATGTTTAGGGCTCTTGGATAAAGTGGCTGTGAAATGTGTACCACACCAACAAACTTTGTTGTTTTCGTAGAGCACCTGATCGGCTCTCACACATTTTCCATCAGCCAATTTACGTCTGCATGACGTTCTCGTCCGGCCACCTCTTTTCATGAAAATGAACAAAAATGCTTCGCATAAATTTTATTTGACGAGCGGTTTTCGTATTGGAAATGGCCTTGGGGTTTTAACTTCATTCCATCTTCCTTGCATGTCAGTACTACAATAAAACTACTTTTTTCATGGCCAGTAATTCTGACTAGAACAGTTATTACGGACTTTTTTCCAGTTATGTTTATCACGTCGAAATTAATCGGTCTTTCATACGTATTTCCAATATTAGGTAGTGGCAAGTTGTATATTAGACTCGTACCAATGACAAACTTGCTAAAGCTTGTGACTGTATGATCAAGATCTTGTATTTACTGCCCACGTATTGTTTTGTGTTATTACGAGATTTCGTCCAACCATGAAACGATTGCACCAATCTACTGTGCTGCTTTAAATGCTGTGTCTTTCTCTGGATTGGCCTGTACACCATCAGAAGATTTATCAGAGAAATGTAGTAATAACGTATATATTCATTTTTTTAGAGATTAATCTGGTAATAAATCTCATTCAATCAATTTATGGAGTGCTGCAGTTACTTCTGTCCAGAAGGATGCGAAGTCTTCAACTGGCATTTAATTCATTCCGAGTGGACTCAGGATTTCTGCTTCATCACTATCTATATTTTTAGTCAACACGATAGAAAGAGTAAAGCCGAATGTTGTAGGCAAGTTTATAGCCGAAAGTACGATTCAATTCAAATGTCAATGTTCACCCCGGAGGTTATCCTTCGCATATTGTGCAGGGATTCCACATTAGGCTCTGCTGCACTTTGTCCAGGCATTCAATTTTAAAGAGCTTTGTTGGATTAGAAACATGTTTACCTCTCGGGATGAAAGTATCTCAAATTATCAGTTCGATTTCTCTCGAGCACATAAGCATGTCCGTGCACGTGTTCAGGGAGCTGGGAGGGTTATCCAATGACTTTTTATCAATTAATACTATGTAATATTTTAATATCGCGCTTTTTAAACCTGTTCGATCATATTTATCAACATTTTAGATAGTTTTAGTTTAGTCCCGTGAAATAAAATTCACGCGCGTTTCAGTTCCATTATACCTAGAGCCCGGGAGTTCAGCAAAATGCTTTTTTATTGTTACGTTTTTATGACTTTTAACAATAGGAATCACGTAATTGTACTTGTGGAGTTAATTGATTTTCATTTGCCTTAATTGGGCCCTTTTCTTCCTTTTCGTAATTATTTTCCTTGTTTTCTCGTAACACCGATCTCGATGAAGTTGGGAACACACCTGCGGGCCAGGACAACACGAAGGCACGGTCGTGTTTTGTCTTTCTGAGGACGAGGAGGCTCCAGGGTCTGGTAGCGTTAAACATCTAAATGAGGAAGTAAGATGATAGAAAAGTCAAGATTTTTGGTTTTTTACTTTGATGCCGTCTGCCTTTGTTCCCTCGCGAGGGATCCCTTACTGCATTTGAGTAGGGCTTCCGATTCCTTTTGGGAACAGAGTTCTCTGTAAATGATGTACCCTTCTCGGCGCTGGAGATTACTCTAGTGTGGAGGACGAAAAGTATGATTCCGTTTTCACTGCTCCATTTCAAGATTCAAGCGGGAGTCCACAATAGCATTTCTCCCTGAGATAGCGTCGCGAGTAAAGCAAATACACATTCATACAAATACAAGAAATCATTGTTTCCTTCCACGTAAGTGTTAATGCTCCTTTTAGAATTAGAATAAAAATGTGAATCATTTGAATTATTTTTTTTACAATCATTCCTTTTAAATGGTGATTTTTTTTAATTCAAATGCCTCTTTGCTTCCCTACTTTAGCCAAAATAAATGCCGGTTTGCTTGCCTATTGTAGTAAAAATAAATTTGTTTTTGTTTGCGAATTTTAGGTAAGATCCGAGCTCTAATTATAATCCTGAACAGACACATCCTTCGAAACGGTTCATAAAATCCAGTTCTGAAATTTCTGAATGCGAGATGTTGATGTATCCGAGATGTGCTTCGGCCAGGTCGTATTCATTACTTGTGACGGTTCGAACCTTCTAACACCGTACTTTCGGCTGTCTGGTGTGGGGGCGGGGGGAGAGACCGGTGTAGCAAGAGGTAATTGATTGTCATCGAAGGCGACCATACCGAAACAAGCCAACGAATTGTTTGACTACTTTTTATTTCAAAACAGTTACTTCGCCAGTCTCTCTTCGTCCCTTCTCGATCACTTCCAAGGAAACCTTCCGAGGTGGCCCTTTCATGAATTTTGGATGTTGTGAAGGATGGAGAAATAAGACTTGCGAGCGTTTATTTTCTCGTCTATAAACATTTTAAGGGTTGAAATTCCCGATACGGGATGATTTTACTTGTTTCGCATAGAACAGAGTAATATTTCCGAGCAATCGCAATCCAGAAATTTAATATGTGACAAAGAAATAAGTCCGCCGAGAGTCGCAGAACCGCTTCAGTCCCTGCAATGTCCCGTCAACTGAGAGCTGATGTCGTGGCGTGTAGTGAGATTCCAAGCAGTCGTACTCCGCCTCCAATTCGAGCAGTTGTCTTAAACAGCGCAGTGATTAAGCGCTTCCGACCTTCATTAATGTCGCAGGCCGCGACGTTGCTCGCAAAACGCAAATTGCACGCAGCGTCAAGATGTCTGTTATTTATTTTATTATTAATTCTGGGCATTAAGGATTATATAAATATCTTATGTCGGGTGACACAAGTCTACTCCAGTTCGCAATCACCTTCCTAAAGTGGCAATGTCCTTGAACTGTTTGCCAACGCTTACGCGGTCAATATTGCCACACAATATCGTTCCCACTATTTACCAAAAATATCTCAATACTTTCTTCTTCGAGGCATAAATGAACTGAAATATCTGTGGGGAAAGTTAAAATTGGTGATTTTTAATGAATTCCCGAAAGCAGAATGGTTCCTCTTGTCAATAACGCCTTCGTCGTTCATTCCCTGGAAACGCCTTATGCATTTACTAATAGTTTTTTTAATACTGGAGTGGGATTATTTACATAATTTTATGCCAATTAACAAATATTTTTTCCATTGTTCATCAATTTTTTCCCAACTGTATTTTTAATTGTCTTCCATTAACTTAATAAAGTGAATAAATCAAGAAACAAAGTGTACAGTATCAATTTATATCGAACATTCCACAAATGAAGTACCTTTGAACTAGTATACCTCTTGATAGTACTAGGCAAAACAAGATATAGCTTACGCGTTTGCAATATATAACTAAATAGCAGTCAATTATCGAACGTAATATTAACTGTAAGCATGAGTAATATTATTATTGATATGAAAATATAAATGTTCTTACCAATAAATAGATAAAATTAAAATTAACTCGAAATTTAACATCAGTGAAAATGATTTACTTAATAAATTGGCTGTTTTGTTGTATTGCGTGCTTAAGTACTAGGTAATAAGCGTTATTATTTTTTTAATTGCTCTGAACATCCTTATCTCATAAACAAACTACATAAGTAAGTCTTTATGAGTAGGTGTAAAGAAATGTGCTAAAAATGTGTAAATATTAGTGTGTTTCTTTGACCAATGTCATAAAGTATGCAAAAAGACGTCTTCATAATAAATATTTCCTTTAATTACAAAAATTCAATTTAATTAAATGAAATTGATTTAAATAAAAGTGCCTGATATTCCCCCACCCTTTTATGGTTGCATTTCAAGTTAATTTATTTTCTAGAAGCACCCACTGCAGTAAGGTGTAACGGTGTGAATATTTAAATAGTTTCGTGTGGTACCCGGTATGATTACTGTACTAAGATAATTCGAATGTTTTGAATTCTTGGTATTTTCTACTGCATGCGGTAAGGGTCTGGCAAATGAACGAATGATGAGATGAGAATGCCAAGTGTGTTGGATATGTACCGTCCAGACCTGATTGGACTCTCCGAAGCATGTGGATGTTCGCGTGTTAAACTGCTCTGCCTGACGCGCTTAGCTCCAGTTCCTAGGTTGCGAGAGTAGCTCATTCCTTCGAGACGCCGATTCTGCCATTTTATGTCGTGCGACGTGGGGAGAACTGTACAGTATTGTATGTGTTGGGGACTATGGAACTATCCGAAATTGAAATTAATATTCTGGGAAGTCTGCCAGCCGTCAATTGATTGTTCATCGTTTCCGGGCGCGTCAACTGCTAAGGTTTGTAGTCCCGTAAGCGAGGTCATGTTTTTATCTGGAGGTGGCGGAGGTGGTGGTCTCTCGCTGGGTGGTGAGATTCTGGGCCGTCCTGCACGTCGACTTGGAAGGGGGGGGCCCTAACCAAGTATGCTCCAACAACAGAAAGAACGCGCGCTGTTCGTGGGTCGTTTCTTAGGGTATTCATTTGGTGTTGATTGGAATCAGCATGCAAAACTACCGATCAAAGCAGCCGGCCGCTAGAATTTTCCTGCAGACAGCGACTAAATTCGAACGAGCTATCTAACGAGTGTCGAAAAGCCTTCCACAGACGGGCCTCGAACCTAGGACTTCCCAGTCGGAGGCACTGCGGTGACATCAGTTGACGCCCTGAGCCACCCTTGTCGGCCCGGGGGGCGGATTTTCCACGCCAGCTGGATAGCTCCGTCGAATTCTGAGCCCCGCAAAGCCGCGTGTAGTCACGTCTATCAGGGGAGGAACACAGCCAGGAATATAACATGCACTAGTCTAACGGGACCAAGGATCACAGCAGTTGTGATGTGTGATGAACGATGGTCGGATCTTTGTGAGAATTAGGCCCAAGCTGAAGGTTTGCATGGTGGCCCGCGTGCGCGGGTGTGTGTGTTGCAGGAAGCGCGCGATGCTGTCGAGGTCCCGGTCCGCGCTGCACGTGGCGGCGGCCGCCGCGCCCGCCCACGCCGGCGGCGGCAGCGGCGCGCAGGTGCGGCGCGTGTCGTACGAGAAGGTGTCCGCGCACATGTCGCTGATGCGCGCCAGCGGCGGCTCGGCCAGCAAGGTGGTGGCGGCGGCGGGCGCGGGCGCGGGCGCCGGCGCGGGGGCGGTGGCGGCGGCGGCCGCGGCGGCGGCGGGCGCGGGCGCCGTGGCGAGCGACGTGGGCCTGAAGCCGCTGGTGGTGATGCTGCCCTGGCTGCTGGCCAAGCGCCAGCACGTGCTCAAGTACGCGCAGCTGTACACGGAGCACGGCATCGACGTGCTGGGCGTGCACACGCACCCCGGTCACCTCCTGCGCCCCGCCAAGGGCAGCCAGGTGCGCAACCATTTAATTTCATTGTGCCTGCTTTTATTATTAACGCAGGCAATTTTCACTAACTAATAATGTTAACTTGTCACGAAACTTTCATACAAACATTTTCGGATAATCATTAAACTGATAAAATGGTATCGCAGCATGAGCCTGCGACATTTTGCAAAATCTCTAATGTGACACATTCAACCAAAACATTTAATTTCTCTTCCCAATTTTTTTTATCTCGATCCGCCTCTTAATATAAATAGCCGCGAGATGTCTTATTATTTATAAATAAAATTTAACAGTAAATAAAGTTAAAAACGCATCTCCATGTGCGAGACGTGATAAACGTAAAAACATCGAGTTAAAACCATTACTTTTTATAGAAACATCGATGTTTAAAAATATCAGCTTCAAAGCCTCATCCTTATTTGTTAGCCAAACATTCGTCCATGGACATCAAAGTATCGTTGCCGGCGAGACTTGGAACCGCCCGGGACGGCATTGCCCGACATCATCGGATTGGAATCTGGGAATTGTAGCAGTGGTATCCATGACGCCTCTCTCCGGCTTCTGTTCCTTTCTCGTTCCCCCTCATCTCATCAATTGTAAACTGCGCCCAGTCACTCCCTTCTCTCTTACACTCGTCGCCCTTGATGCGCATTCGACGCCCAGTTCACCGCCTTCTGACTCGCATTCTCGTTTTGTATGTTGTTGGGTTCCAGCCATGTGGAAATCGCACGAAAGGAACTTGCTGCCCGGGCAGCGAAATACGACACCTCAAGGCCTTACACGTGATGTCGATATGTTCTCTTTGACCCCACACGAGGTGCCCCGGCGCGTTCTCAACACGCTCGAACGTCAACGCGACGCGCTGCCACAACACCCTGTTTAAATCGGGTGTGATTAACGTCTCCGTAAAGCTTTGGACTTTCGAGTGTCGAAGCGTGAGGAAGTAACTTTAACACAAGTCTTCGGGTCACCCCCCCCTCTCCATTTGCGAAAACCAAAGAACAAGCCATTGTGTAGAGCACATTAACATTGTAGGAATGTTGATAACCACTGAAGACCCCATCCGGTCAAATGAGCTATAGTTAGTTCTCATACCTCAGTTTTTGTGCACTTTACGATAAAAATTGAGAGAATAGCGCTAAGTGACTTTGTACACTGCTCCTATATTTGCACATTTTGAGATTTTTAATTTAAATACTTTTACATATCCGTGGCTTAGTGCAAACATATTGTATGTTATGTATATTGTATTATTGAACGTATTTTTTGAGATAAAAAGTTGATAATTTTGTATATATGTGATTTATTTATTTATAGTCCTGAAATAAACTTAAAAAATCAGGAAGTCCTATCGTAGGCCCTAGACACTGTGCCTAATGGTGCCCACTGGTTAATCCAACCCAGGACAGGAAACGTATTTAATTTTATTTGCAGTGTGAAATGGAAGTAATTTTATTTTCATCAAAACCACACCACAGACTACACGTCCATCTCAGCCTCACTCTTGTCCTGCCCATCTCCGCTTCCCACACTTGTTCTGCTTCTAAATGCATTGCAAATTGCATTATACCAAACTGAATTAAAAAGCAAAAACAATTGAGATAAATGTTTCATATTGAACTAAATTATCATCACATTTAATATCTCGTGAAAATAATGTTATTCTAAGAGTTTATACCGGTTTGCAAATGAATTTTATAAAAAATATTGTTGAAAGATAAACAGATATTGAGTCTCTCACAAAATAAGTTTATTTGAATTCTTAGAAATGCAGGCTCATTTGTGAGGTCATCTAGAAATTTTGTCTCAATGAGGTTTGTATTGCAACGCACTATGTATTGTTAATTACAAATTCACGTGAATGGAAAGAATTTAAAATTGTGAATAATTAATCAGGACAAAAGTTTAAATACCGAAGGTGACAGTATTTAGAAGTTCTCCAGGATATTGTAGTCATTGTAGGAATGAAGAAAACTTGTGAATACCTCGAGAGAGAAAAATGAAAGTATACTGATACACTTTCTGAAGATCTAAAAGTAGTTAATTCGGAAGTGGTCAAAATTGTTTGCCCTTTTCAAGAATTGGATAAAAGATCATGTATAATTTGTCATAATGCCTGAAATGTTGGAAATGTGGGACCTGATTTACACAAGGAAAGAGTTAATTTTTCATTTACTTCTTTTCTCTTTATCACACATTCTATTTCTATAATTATTTCTCAGGTGTGTTGTTTTTCTTTTATTATTATTATTATTATTATTATTATTATTATTATTATTATTATTATTTAAATTCCTATGAAGCTCCAGAAGCAGCAGTCCATGTTCTAAAACAAATGTGACTTAATGGCTAGCTAGGACCTAGCTGAATTGAAAAACGGTAATGGAGGTATTTTGATTTCAGCTTGTCGCCGCAGAGCTCCTGCAGTATCTGAAGGAGTTGCCTGGCAGAGCACCTCTCCTCCTGCATGGCTTTTCTGTGGGAGGCTATCTGTGGGGGGAGGCGCTTGTGCAGCTGGCCAACCAGCCAGACTTGCGAGAGGCATTGGAGAAACGTTTTGTTGGACAGGTAGGTTGTGAAAAATTTTCTCAAGAAATATGATATATTTGTTTGTGGCTTTCATTTAAAAATAAAAGAACTATTAATAAGAAAGTTCATAAGAATATATGGTATCATTTGTTTTAATGTTATTATGGTTGTTATATGAATTACTCATTTGAATCAGGCTTTTAAATTTGCATGGATCTGAATTTTTGTTATCACTGCAGTACCCCAGAATATCAGTTTGAATACACAAACAAAATACTTCACAATAGACCAGGTGCACAGATTATGCAGAATAATTGAAAAATCATTGGAAGAAAAAAAAATGTTTTTTTGCTGTTTTCTTAGATGTTGCACAGACCTTTGACCAAGTCTGGCACAAGAGTTTAAACTACAAGCTCTGAATTGTTCTTCCCTGACAATGAGCAGAACTGGAATCATAGTTATCTGACAAGTTGTTCAGAGTTGAACAAGATGATGCCTGTATGGAACAAAAAATTAAGGCTGGGGTATCGCAAGGAAGTGTGTTGGGACCAATACTGTACCTACTGTATACCATATACCAGTGTCTTCCCCAAACCAGAAAAGTGTCATAGAAACATTTGGCAATGACACTGTGATTTTAGCAATTAAAATAAGCAATGAAGAAGCAACCCAGAAACTACAATCAGCAATAACACATATGTAAAAATTGACTTATGATTGGGATATCAAATTAAATGAAAGTACAAATGTGCACATGATATCCACAAATGGATGCATTGAACATGTTCCGATTTATATAAACAACATGGTACTGTAAACAAACACAGCAAAGTATCTTTGCATGGCATTGGATTGTAAGCTTCAATAGGAAAAACATGTTACAAAAAATAAAAAGTATCAAATACTGAAAAAAATTGTGAATCATAATTCCATGATGTAATTTCAAGTGTGTGTTTTTTGTGGTATTAAATAGCAATTCATTTCATTATCAACATTGCAAGAAATGCAATAGAGTATTTCATCAAAGTTCTTATGTTAGTTAATTATAATCCTTCTGTTCTTAAGTATATACTTTTATACATTCACATTATAGATGTAAATGTATAATTAGTATTTGTATAGTATGTAGTGTAGTGTAGTGTAGTGTAGGATGTAGTGTATTGTATTGTATGGATAATTTATAATATTTTTAAATGGAGATGCTAAGTATTAAATGAGAATGGAACTATGTAAATTACATTAAATAAAAGAAAAACTTGTGAAACATGTTGATTATGTAGTAATTAGTTTTTGTATGTCCATTCAGATTAAAGTGTATCATACACTGTTTAACTGATTTTTTTTTCTTTTTCTTGTTTTCAGGTTTGGGACAGTGTTGTAGAATTATCAGAAGCTCCTGCAGGTTTGGCACGATCGGTTTTTCCAAGATCAACAATTTTGCAAGGATTACTAGAGAAACTTATAACAAGCTATTTGTCAGCTCTACATAAAGTGACAACTCGTCACTATGAATTATCTTCTCAACACTTTCATCGACATCCAATGCATTGTCCAGCTCTTCTACTTCTGTCTGAATCAGATCCCATTGGCACTGTTTCAGCTAATGAGAAATTATTGAGTAATTGGAAGCAAATTGATGTCCCAGCCTACGTGAAAATCTGGGAGGGTTCTCCTCATGTTGGTCATTTTAGAATGTATAGAGTTGAATATGAAGATCAGGTTAACCAGTTTCTTCAACGATTAGGATTGATAAGCAAAAACTCTTAAAGCAACCAATTTTTTCATATCATTCCTTGGTTCTGAAATATGCGCAGTATTGTAATTGACTTAAGAGATTCTGGAATAGAGAAGTAAATTTTAAAGTTCTATGTGAACAACTATATAAACATTATTCCTGAAAATGAATGAGTGCAGTTTAAAAAAATACAACTTATCTTTTTTCTTGGCAGATGAAGTGAGTTGACTTCAGATGTGACCACGAAATTTGATTCAACTCTGCTTATTCATGTAGAAATATAGTATTTAACTTCATTCTCTTGCTAACTTGCATGGATTGTTTTCGTTCTTCATTTAATAGGAAGGTTTGTTCACAATGGAATATTTCCTATCGAATGTACCTATTTTATTTGTGTCTGTTAAGTAGTATTTTTACTTATATCAGACATTTTTATTAAGTAGTATTTTGCTAATTTTCTGTGATTTTTATCATTGATTCGACAGTAGTAATTTGACATGAACTCAAAACAAGTATCAAAAACGAGCAATACTGCATTGCTGTTTGTTAATCTTTTTATACACGAGATTAATGGAAACTGAGAAGTAGAGAATAGACATGAAATACCTTTACTATGTGAGTAGTAAAGAAAGACAAAGGTGGCCCTAAGTTCTATAGGACTTTGTATCCTGCAATTATGGTAATTTTTTATTTTTATTTTCTGTGATTCTTTCATAAGGTATTGTTAAGTGTGCTATTAGAAGATTGTGTTGACTGCAGTATCATGATTATCGTTGTTCAAATTATATTTCCTTTTTAAGTTAATTTTTGTTTCTTTTTTATCTCAACCAAGTCGTTTCAAAAATATGTGCGGACATTCTCTCCTTATTGTCTTCAAGAGAAAAATCATCTAACAAATTCTATTCTTCTGTTACTTCCATTGTTTCCTATTATAAATATTTAAAAACTCATTAAAAAACATATGAAAGAAATAGTCATATATAAGTTGTGAATGAATGGAATTATATCTTGAATATATAATTGCGTGTAGCTTTCAGAAATGTAGAGAATGTCTTTGTTGACATGAGATAAGTGCATAGCAGTTTAAACAGGGTGGCCACTTTCTGCAAAACCAGGAGAAATCAAGTAATTTCATTGATCTGGAAAAGTGGGAAACATAAGTAGTAGTCTGGGAAATAGAAGAATCATTGGAAGTCAGGGAACATTTTATGACAGTGATATAACTAAATATTATTCCTTAAGAAAATTAGTCCAGCAAAAAATAGTAATTCAATTTTTATTACATTGATAAAGCCTACATTGCTTTATCATTTTTTATATGTTGAGAACTTTTTTTAAATATTGGTACTTTTTCGCGGAGAAATCAGAGCTGACAAATTTATATCAGTCTTGCTTTCTAATAGCTGAAATACTCTACAAATCTTATCAGTGATTATTTAAAATTTTTACTCTATTATTATTATTTTTTAAAATTTATTTATAAAATGCACTGGAAAATTGGGGGAAGCCAGGGGAATTTGTTTCCAGAAATAATAAGTGGCCAACCTGTTAAAGTACACATGTAGGATTGCTGTTGCTAGAGCCTGGACAGTTTTGTAGAAGAGTGAGGGGTGCTTTTGACAGCCGAGTGAAATTTTCAGTGCATTTTCATGTAATTTCATGTCTCTAACTGCTGTGGATCTGTAATGCACTTGCTGTGATGTGACAGGTGCAGACAGAAAGAGTCAGAACAGATTCCAAATAATGAGAACAATTAATATAGTAAGTTTTCTATTAGTGTTGTAAAAATCGTGTAGTTTAATTAGTAATATTCCTCGTACGTAAGCCTACAAAAGTGATCTTCCTTCTCTCTTCAACACAGGGAGCAGTTAGTCAGTATATTCTGGTATTAAAACAACTCATAAAGTTTGTGATATGACATTTGTTGTATGTTAACGTTCAGTTGCTACTCAAATTGGTTAAAATAAAATTGATTTATAAATTGTTTTACTTTGTAATTATATAGAAGTTGATTTGAGAATTTCCAAAGGTTAAATCACATATTTTTATCATATTACCTCGTTTTAAGTTTCTTGAAAAAGCAAAAAGATCTTTTAATTATTTTCTTAAGCCTTAAATTTGGATTGTTTGTAATATTATGTGTGGCTAGTCTCCAGAAAGTAAACAGGGGTAGCTTTATTAATAAATGATGGATGTATACATAAAGTATTTGTATTTACCTTCCATGTCATGCTGCCAATCAAATTTTGTTAGACCAAAGCTAAAACTTACCTTTTCAGGTAATTTTCTGAATATCTTTTTTTTCTATTTGTTGAGATAATTACATTGACTTGTTTGATAAATTCAAAGAAAATAAGTCACTGACTTATTGCACTGGACTCTTATGTCTGTGTCTAAGACAATTAAGTAATTCAAGCAGTTTCTTGAAAATATTAAGGTGGAATGATTCATTTTCCTTAATGTCTGTGTATGAGCTACAAATGTGTAAAACAAATAGCATTTTATGTCATGCTACTGAGAAAAACAATTAATTTTCTATTAAACTGAAAGTTGTTATTCAAATAGAGATTTACTGTGTACACATCTTGTGGCCTTACTTGCAAACTAGAGATGTCAAATTTGATGTAAGAATATGTACTATATCTATTTTCACTGCCATTTCCCTTCTTTCATGAGAAATGAATTTTCTGTGATTTGCTTTAAAACTAATTATTTAGGATAGTTGTTGGTGCTTGAATAAGAACCAGAAAATGTGTTTAATCTTCAGTCATTTTTGTTGCTCAAAACAGCTTTAAAGAATTTCATAAAATGTGAATGTATATTTATACTTAAGTGGATATTATTGGCAACTTTTGTGTTTTAAATGAAGTATATTTAAAATTTTGTGTTAATCAACAGTTCACTTAAGTCATTCTTATTTCTTATCGTGAACTTATTTCCTGCAGATTTTTTCCTCCAGATAACAAGAGAAACTAATTTCCAATGAAATATCACATATAACTAAATAATGCAGTAAAATGTAAAATCAAAATTTCTAGATTGGTATTATGGTTGTACGGTTGTTCTGTTGAAAAGGCTCCTTGTTTTATTTCAAAACCCTTTTAATTCAATTACCTTTTTATTAATTTATTTTAATTTTTCTATCATACCTTTTAAGTGTTGTATTTTCTGGACAGATGCTTTTAAAAATTTGTAAAATTAGTTCATTTCGTAAAGTGTTAGCTAAATATTTGTCACATTTTTTTTCCCCCTCCCCAAAGATGTTAAAGTTAAGTATAACAATCTTTTACATTAAATTGCAAAAATTACTGCTCAGCTTAGAAATGTAAATATGAGAAGGAACAGACTAGATATTGTCTGTTTTGAAACCAATGATTAATTGTGATTAAAAATATAATTTTGGCAAGTATATGTTTATATAAGAAAGTATATATTGTTGCTATTTCAATTTACAGTGTATTTAATTGCATAAGAAAAATTAAGTACACTTCAAATCGTCTTTTTTGTAATATCTCTTAGCATCATTAAATAAGGTTACAGCAGTTGCTAGTTCCCTTTCCACATTCTGATTTGAAATGTTTATATACAAAATACAACTGAATAGAAATAATTCTAAGGAAGATTACATATTTTTACATTTTAAAGATTGTACCAGAATTGCTTTACTCATTTATTTTTCTCTTGCAAAGTTGTAAGACTTTATTTCACAAATTAAAAAAGATAAATTGTAATGACATGAATGTTTATGTACTATTAGTGATATTTTGAGACAATTGTTAATGAATCAAAGAGATTAACAAATTCCTCCTTGATTAGTAATGTAATCTGAGAGAGAAATTCTTTTTATTATCTAGATTTTTGTTGTTTCCTTTAGTTTAATAGGTGTAGCTTACACAAATTTGACATGTGCTTGGGATAGTAAGCTGCAGAAATTACATTGTTTTGTTGCATCATGAAGATCTCAAAGTTGGAGATGTGAATGAAGTATTTTTACAATGTAATGGAGATGAATTGATCTTAATAATTTCTGTTTATGGAGATAAGTGGATGATGTATAAATATGAGTTGCCTTAATTCTCAGGGTGAACATGCAACTTCTTTGTAATAAATAATGAAAATCGATTTTAAGAGTTCTCAGCAGTTCTAATAAGTCAATTTATAATCAACATGACAATGAACACAAATTTCTCATTAAGTAAGAGTGTATTGAAACATCTGTCTTCAAATATTATCAATGTTTTTTTACTCTTATATTCTGAATTAGAAATAAAATTTCTATTCTGCTAATTATCTTGTTCTATGTAGATAGAGCTTTTGTGAGTTGTATTTCATTTCACATGACTACTATTAACGAAAGAACACGTTTTGAATGTTCAGGACAGGGTGGATTCAGAAAGTAGTTTTAGGATAGGAACTTAATATTATATAATGAACTCTTCTGAGAATCCCTGCTCCATAGAATGAAGATGATGTAAGCTGAATTTAAATGGGTTGATATACCATTAATTAATTATGGAGAACAAATGTAGTAGTTAAACAAATCTTTATTCCAAAATATTCAAATTTTGGGTAATAGTGTAGGCAAAGTAAAATATGTAAAATAGACTGCAAAGGTTTATCACTCCTTTCCTAAGATATTTTCTCTGGATCTGCCCCTGACTTAAAAGATATTTTATACTTGAGATATCTTCTTTATTACTCAGTTCTATGATTTTGTGTTTTCAAAACACTATTCTCTTGCCTTTCTTTCATTGAAGTAAATTAACAAATCTTTGTATGATGGTATAATTCATTCTTTAATAGGTACAGAATTTTTAAGTAGTAACAAAGTTAATTGCAAAACAATCTATCTTAGAGGGATATATGCAGAAATCAAGTGGTATTTCTCAGTTGTGTACTTCAGAATTTTGTCAGTCACACTTTTTTTGTGCCTTTTGACAGGTCAGTAGTTTTCTGATGAAGAAGGATGCTGAGTGAAGTGTAAGGTGAGGAAGTAAGTGTGAGGTGTTGCTAAGGCAGATAAGTATGATGGTAAATTTACGAGTGTGTAACTTGTTAAGGAGAGCTAATGCCTTTTCAGCTAATTCTGCATTATTCCACCAGATTATTTTCATGAGGGTCTTGATAATTTCTGTTAATGTGAGAGTGAATTGCAGAGTATTATGCCTCAAAGTTTTATATCACAAAGTTGTACATATGTTTTTGCAAAGAAATCGAGTCAAAGCCTGGAAGTTATCTTGGATTGTAAGGAAAAAGGCTTGGAGCTTGTGAAGAAAAATATTACTTCTTTATAATGCTTCAAGTTTTTCCAATCAATGGTACTTTTGAGTTATTAAGCTTTTGATGGTAGCTTGGAGTCATGAGAGGGTTTGAAGAGTCTTTTCATATTTATTTTACTACTGCACATTCTACAAGCATGATAGGACATCCATGAGTACCTATAGCAATTCATTGCTTTGTAAGGTTTGTTTCCTCAAAGTTATTTAATCATACTACTCTTAGTTAAGAGAAGTTTTTTCATGCGAGTCCATATCAAGGAAATAGAACCAAAATAAAAACAAAAACATAATATTAAAAAGTCTGTACAAAAGTCACTGGTGCTAAAGAATGGCACAGACTAACTCGTAGATTTTGAATTATTTAGTCAAAGAACAGTAAAAACTGTATGTTAAGTATGGGGGGAAGTACCATCTGCACAAGTTTTCTTGAGCTCCAGAATTCCTTCCCAACATTTTAACTAAAATTAGGTGAAAGATGAATAAAGGTTCAAAAAAACACCAACATAATAACAATAAAACAAAATTTTAAAAATGTGCAAGGTTGTGAACAACATTTGAAAAGCTAGACATTTTCGTTCGAACCATTTTTTCTTTATTAACTATTAATTTATTAGTTACTATTTAGTTATTAAGAAACAAATTTGAAACTTCTGAAATCTTTCCATTTTTTGGTTCTTTATTGCAAAAAACATTTGTGTCATTGGCAAACAGAACTGTTCTTCCATTTTAATGGAATGATGATTGTTTATGTATAAAAGAAAGAGGACAGGACCTAAGATCAAACCTTGCAGGACCTCATGCGCAAGTGGCAAAAAAATGGAAAGATTTGTAAATAATGTTCCTTCATGGCATTACGATATTTCTACTCAGAGATACTATCCAATCTAAAAAATACAGCTACTTCTATATGAAGGTAATTAATAATAATAATAATTATTATTATTATTATTATTATTATTGAGTCACATATACTATTACAATAGTGTATGTCGAGTCAATATGATGTCTTGGTGTTAAAGTTACATTACTGTCCAGAAGCGAAACAAGGGACCAGAAAACCTGATCGAGATGGAGTCATTAGCCTAGGAATTATACTACAATACTTCTTACGGATAGAGGAAGATATTGTATAGTAGATAATTGTTTTTAGTAGCAAAATAACTTAACATTTCAAGATTTGTACTGTTTCATGTTTAAAGTAAAATTTACTGCTGTCATTTTACTGCTACTACTTATAATAATAATAATAATAATAATAATAATAATAATAATAATAAAAGTATTAAAATAGTACGTGATATCAATTGTAGCAACTACGTTTTGGAACAAAGATGCTGTGGTCAATAACGTCAAAAGCTTTGAAAAGATCCAAAGAAAATATTCCAATAGATGCTTAATTTGGGTCTATTGAAGGGAAGAAAATAAGAAAAGAAAAAAATGGCAGTGTTTCGTATATTTTGAATTTCTAAAACCGTGTTGTGAGTCTGAAAACTGTTTTCCCTGAGAAAAGTTTCCAATCATATATGGAAAAGGCTGCCTAATATTTTTTGAAAAACCGACAAAAGAGAAATTGGCCGGTAATTTTGGATTTAATTTTTTTTCCTTTATTCGGTGGCTTAATTTAGCTGCTTTAAGTGTGTTTACTAAGCGTTCCGCCTCCCGTTGGTCTGTGGGTGAAAAGGCAGGGATGGAATGCCGAATACCGATTTCTAAACAATGTGTCTCAAATTCGTTTGACACAATTTGCAGACGATTGTCAGAAACCAGTACTTTAGACATACCTCCCATTATAAATACTCCCTCGGGTGCTTTGGATGTGATAGTCGTGGTCAAACTGAACATACCCCAAATGGGTAATTCACCGGAGCGTCCACCACGGGTGGCAGCGAGGAGACCGGGGCCTCGAGCCGCTCCCAGTCAGCCTCTTGCCTTCGTCGCGGCAGTGGCCCGATATTTTGGGCGAAGAGGAGGGACTTGGTGTCCCGGCGCATGTGAGTGGCGCGTTGTCACACGACAATATTGACTCCGGTATTAGCCTGGATAGCTAGTAGCTCTGAGCTAGCGAGGCAGCCCAACCCAGGCGTTGAATGGGGAGGTTGCCAAGAGGGCGCACTGGGTGCCGGCCGGATCCGGATATCGGTCGTACTTGTGCGGCGGCGGGGGGTGAGGATTAGAGCGAAAAGCTCAGCTGCTCACCCCGGGGACTTGTGCCCACCTATAGAACACGAGTTGCGGTGGAGATGTGCCCATATTAGGTCTCCAACCTCTTCAAAATAGATCTTGAACGAGGAAAACTATAGCACGTGGTGTACAACCGATTGCACGCATCAGGATTTTAGTCCTCGCCTGAGAACTTTTATTTTGATAACGGAAGATACAATTGTGCTCACGCGAATTTAAGATGTTTTAAAACATATTTCCACCAAACGTTGGGTGGTCTCGTGCACACCTCTCCACTTTCTCTCTTAAATTTATCTGCTGTAGTCTACTTCATAGTGCTGCCAAATTCTTCAAAAGTTAAACCAGTAACTACAATATCGTCTAAATAATTTATAATGTTTAATATATAATAAACATTGATATATCGCTGCCGCCGACGCTACCTCAAAATGTAACTGATTTTGTACAGTCCTTTGACAGAGTCGATAACACGCAATCGCATCCTTGGAAACTGCAAGCACGCGTCCCTCACGTCGATTTTTGAGAACCATTGTCCCCCAGATAGCTGCTGAAACACCACCTCAGTTCTAGGCTTAGGGAAATGTTTCACCTCGAGCTGAGAATTGTAATCTTGAAATCAGTTCACAATCACACTCCCCTTTTCTGCTTCCTCACCACAACCTGAGGCCTAGTCCAATTACTTGTACGTACTGCAATGGGAGCCTGTAGTGAGACCAGTCTTTCCAATTCTGCTTGCCCTGGTTCTGTCAGTGCGAATGGAACAGGGCTGGCTTGAAATATTTTGATACATTGGGTGACATGTGATTGCACTGGCCTCAGTCTTTGCCGAACACAGCACTTTTCTTTTGCAGCAGCTGTTGTATATCATGTCAGTTGTTATCGTCCTCAATCGTAATAACACTGTTCTGCACTTAAAACCCCAGTGTGTCAAAGTTATCATGATCTAGAATATCATTTGCATTGTACCCATCAACTACAATTGTCAATCATTTTCAATCTTACGTTGTATCTGGCTTTTATATATAATTTGCCTTTTATTGGAATTTGATGTCTGTCAATAGTAAGTAACCGAAACCGGTGTACTGCTAGGGGGGCCAAATTTCTTGTATATTTCCGTTTTTTTCTCGAATAAAAAGACTGGAGAGTGGTGGCGCAATTCTAACTTCAAATTCGGATTCAGGGCGTTCAAATACATAGAGAATCATGTTTCAAGACTTTGGGTCTGACAATTTCTTTTTGTATGTGCCTGTGAAAATAAATAAAATCGGCAAGCTTGTCACGAGTGCATAGTGTGGGTGCAATACCTCAAATGTGCGGTAGTAAAGAAAAGGTCAGTTTTGCGGAAAGGAATACGTGTATCCCTACCCCTGACAATAAACAGTACAATAAATGTTCACCCTCCTAACAGACCTATCGAATACCTCGGATTACATTTAGACATCAAATTAAATTGTGATCGGTTTATAGACAGTAAGACAATACAAACCCGAATAAAATTACTCAATAGGCTAAAATCTATAATCCCCAGACGTAGGCCAATAACATATCTCTGGAATTGCAATTTATAAAGTCAAATTATAACCCCTACTGCTGTGCTATTGCCAATTGCGATCAACATCGCATAAAACAATTTAAAAAGCATGCAAATCAGACAGAATCAGTTCCAGACAACAATATCTAATGCAATTGGCTTGTGCCCAGCCGTCACCTTCCGCGCGGCGCTTCCTTCGCCAGAGGCATCAGGCGGCGGCGCCCATTGCGCATGCGCGGCAGGCGCGCGGCGCCGCCTTCCCCAAATCCCGAATTCTGGAGCGGAGCGC